GAAAGGTACGTTTCTAAAATCCAAAGTAAGAAACAAATTCAAATCTTACAAACACAAAACATAACTAGTTTTGAAACAAACTAGAATCGAAATTTGAGCATTTTCATTTTCCAAAACAGATCTCAACGATAGAGCATTCAAATCTTTAGGCAAAAACTGAAAAGAAGGTATAAAGAATTAGACCTAATTTGAAATGAAACGAGCGATAGAAATGGAAGAGTGAGTAAAGCTGAAAACAGATTATATTTAAGTACAATGTGATTAAATTAAAAAAAAGTTTGAAGGATGAACTACAGAGATGCTAAAGTGTTGTTTTTCTTCTTTAATGTTGTGCTGGTATTGCTAGTTGTTCTACTATAAGAAAGGTTGTGCTGGTATTGCTAGTTGTTCTAGTATAAGAAAGGCAAATTTTAGGCTGAAATTTACTGACTTATGATTTTAAGCATTTGATGAAGGAATTATAGATCAGTCAGCTTCCTTTTGGTATTTAGCTTTCTTATAAATTCTTAGAAATATAATTTGCATTTTGCTCTCTGCATTTATATTCTTTTCTCAATTAGCAGCAATCTTTCAAGAAGTAGCAGCTATCAGAACTAATAAGAATTCTCATTTCTTACAATTTATTTGTAATGTCATTAGGATTTTTGAAGTAAAAAATACGAAAAATAAGCAATGCCCTCGCCGGGACTCGAACCTAAATCACTCAAATACGCGCCGAGTGTGCTGCCCTCTGCATCACGAAGGCATGATAAGAAGGGGGGGAGTAATACCTTATAATATTAGCCATGCTATTCCTTCTGTTGCTTTGAAATCATCTCCTTATCGCTTATATGTTTTGTAAGAATTAGCTTTTTATTACCCACTCATTTATTTATCCTTCAATGCTATGATTTAGAGAGCTCAGAGTAGAGATATTTTATAGCGAATTACAGCCAATTGTCTAAAAGTGCAGATTTGTGACACCACGCCTCCTTCAGAAAATTAGTTGCACACGCGTTGTTATGACTTATCTCACATGTCTGACGGTAACATCAGAACAAGTCCACGAGAGAGCAAGCTTGCGCATGTCGCCTTGACAAGAGCCTTGAGCAGCATGTAGGTGACAGTACGACTTCGCTCAGTTCCGTCTCCAATTTTGATGGAGAGCACCCCGGGAAGGGGACGGGTCTCTCAGTCCTCTCTCTCTACTTCCAAACCCTCGAGAGGACTTTCGGCTCAGCATATATTTAGAGTGCCCCATGTCGCAAAGACACTTTATATTTACAAACATCCATGCCTTCTCCGGGATTCGAACTCGAACTCTTTGGTATCACAGTAGGCTTCCCTAACCACTATATCGTGTGAAAGGCAGCTGCACGCACAAAGAGAAGTTATATGTGTTTAAAGTAAAATTAGTTGTTAGCGCCATTGGATAATAATCCGCTGAGACATAAGTAACGTACCATTAAGAAGCACGTTCTTCATTTGCTCAAGAAAATACCTTCCCCGTAGGTATCTTGCAGCAGTTTCCGTGAGAGAGAAAATCAGCGAAGGCGTCGAGGGATGTGAGAACGTTGCAATATGTTGAGAAGTTCTACTAAAAATACTGTCAGGCGAGCAAGAGGCACTAGCCACTGCAAGTATAATTTTAATTTTTTAGTCAGAAGAAAATGCACCACTGATAAAATGCGAAGCTTTGAGGGCAAAATATGAAGCATTGAGGGTACAAACATTCTTGTAGAAAAAGATCAGGCCACAAAATGCAAGATCGTGTATAATAAATGTAAATAATTTAAAGTCAGTTTGACAGCTTCTCTACTTGTCATCAAGAATAACATGGTCAACAATGTTTCTTTCTCAGAACAAGCCAGACCGTTTAATACGTATTCGCGGCCGCTGGTTTCATATGTATACTCAAACGTCTGCCATAGTATATAAGTTTTTAATGAGTGAATCACTTGATAATATACAAATACTTCCTAAGAATATATTAATATTTTGCCACTCTTATCGGCACAGCAGCTATTGATGCCGATTCTAGTATCATCGAGTCCGTGTTCAGATCCTGAATAAGTGCGTAATTTTTGTAAATGTATAAAGTTTGTCGGGCAATGGGGCACTTAAAACGCGGCCGAGCGAGACTCCTTTTGAGTAGCTTGCTGGTAGAGAGAAAGGAGTGGGACAACCGCAGATACATTCTCCGGGGTGTTTGTTGTTCATTAAATTAGTGAAGATTTCCACAATAAGTGGTGTTGGACAAACGGTCAGATTCTTATGTCTCGCCCACTTCTACCTATACCTGTATGAATATATTGAACCTTGAATTGCCTTTATAGGTATACTGAAATCAAAATCATGAGAAATGTTTCGAATAATACTGTCGAGCGATTAGAATTTCTGTTAGCAAGAATCTTAAAAAAAAAAAAAAGAGTGTTCTTGCCGGAAATCGAAACAATCTAAATAACATTTTATGCTTTAGTATATTTAACCAAAGCTATATAACTGAAAAAAAAAAAACAAGAAAAAAAAAAAGATTTTATTCTTTGTTTTCCTTATTCTATAATGCTAAAGATTAATGGGTGTGTCTGAATGAAATAAAATACTTTCTTATTTTTAAATCGTCTGAGTTTTCCAAGGTGTATTATTTCATTCAATTCCTCGATTATTTTTTTATTTATTTTTATTTTTCACTGTATTTCAACCTGTACTAAGCTAAACAAAAACCTTTAATTATAAAATTATTTTTGATCCCTGTAAAGACAAAAAAAGTTCAATGATTAGTTTGACCGTCAAACGGCGGATAGGTGAAAAAATTCAACATTAAAAATATCTGCATAGAATTAAAAAAAAAGTCCTATTATCACTGAAAATACACATGAGGTTAGAAATTTGCCTATGGAAAGGAGGAAAAATGCACTTTCAAGATTTTACTTCAGCAAATAAACCAAACCTTAACAAACAGAGAAACTCATACAACAATATATAAAACAAAGAATTAAAATCATATTGTATGATAGTTTATAGTTTTTTACTAATGTATCAAAAAGAAAAAAATATTGCATGGTAGTTTTTCACTAATGTCTATAGAAATTCCTTAGGAAGTGTTTAACAAATTATCGAAAACTAGTGTACTATCTTTAACCTTTTGCGGCACAGTGTGTCCGGTCTAAACACACCTAAAAATTTCCTTCTGTACGCACACAAAAAATGAATGAAAAAGGATTTATAGGTTACTTTAGGTTGCTCTGAACCTCCTTCAAACGGCGAACCCTACGTGTGCCCAGACCGGGTTCACCGATAATCTACGAGAACTTAGAGTCTGTATTCTTTGTTTCTTCGCATCTCATCGGTCAGTTCATTGACAACAATGCTCGTTTCAGCACTCTTTTCGAAGCTCTATTCAATCAGTGTGCCAAATTTGCACACCAAATATAATACCGATCAGTGCTATCTTCACTAAATTTTACTTATGAATCCTAGGCCTAATTAGCGGCCTACTGTTTTTTTTCTTTTTTTTTTTTTTTTTTAAATCAAAACTCCAACTTTAAAAGGTAGCGTGCCGGAAAGGGTTAAGTTACAAGAAACCATGAATCTGAAACACGATCTTAAGCCTTGATTTTTAGTATTCCCACGTAGATTTCTCTCCAGGTAATTTAGAACCCTTTCACGATAAGTGTGGTAAGCACTTTTCGAGAAAATTTCAAATTCTGAGAAAAGGTATGAAGGTCAATAGAGTTATATCGTGTTTGCTGATTTCTGCTGGACGCAAAAGACAGATATACCGCCTGTCAAATTCAGAAAACCGTCGCATTCTTTCACGTTTTAGATAAATTCTTTACTGTTGAGTGTGTAAATTTATATATACCATGGAATTTCTAATAGCCATCATATGCTGTCTTTGCATGATAGGAAAATTCCAGTTGTATGCTTGAATTCTTTGAGTGAAAGAAATACTGTACGAACTGAAAAAATATTAAGAAATTAAATTTGTGCCCAAATGCTAGTCATTCTCTAAAACCTTTTCACTGCTTTACTTAGCACATGTAAAGCTACCTAAATCAATGTTTAACATCTAATGGCCTAAGTGATGGTATGTTTCAAAATTACACACGAAATCATACAGTGAAAACAAATTGGGAATATGTAACAGTTTAACTAGACATTACATGCAATCTTCGGTTTAAATTTTTATGAGGGCATCGTGCACTAAGTTTTATCATAACTCAATAAGCATATTTACATGTTATACACCTAACGCACTGGTTGCTAATGATACTATTATGCATTTGTTTTCGAATGTATACTTTGATTTTAAGTTAGACCAGTACTAATGAAATATTGTTGTAGTATATAGAATGATTATTCGATTTACAGAAAGCAGTAAGAAAAATAATATTTGTTTTTGGTAACATTGCTTCAGAAAGATGGCACCTATATTATTTGATGACAGATGGTCGAAAAAGATGACATCTGATTTAAATTTTTTTCTATGCATTAGAAAAAGTCCAGCATCATTACTCTACTTACTGCAGCCATTAGAATTTTAAACTGTTGTAATTTAGAAGTTATGGCAGAAAGAATATTTGCATTAAGGGGTTAAAATAAAAATATTTTTCAATAGAAATTTACCTCAGTATTATTTAGTGATAATGATAATAATAACAATAATAACAATAGTAATAATAATAAAAATAAATAACTGCCTCGAGAAATGTTGAATATCTACTGAGATGAGTATGTTTTGAGAATTCTATGACAATAAATAAAATTTAGAAAAATTATTTTGATTGTGATTGTAAAAAGATATATATTGTGAATAAACACACAAAAATAAAAACAATGATTAAAAAACTGAATTAACAGTTACAAAGTCTCACTTATGCTTAACAGACACATTTAGAATGTTAAATTTAACAGTTAGTATGGTAATAACCCTTGATTTTTATTTATGTTTAAAATGCACTGTTTTCAGTAACAAACTTAGAGAACAATACTTTTCCAAAAAGGAGTTACAACAGTGCTTGGATTTCTTTTATGAAACAATGCCATTAGTTCTTATTTTTAATACATATTTAGTTCAATACATTATCACAACCACTTTTAGACATTAACCGTAAAAAAAGGAATCAATAGGGAACAACCTCCATATAAATTACTAAATTTTTTCTTCAATCTTCTAACCACAGCAATGCTTAAAAACGCACGAACGATACACGTTATAGGAAAAAAATATACATATTCCGCAATGAAATATTTAAACACCATCTTAGATCCATTCAATAAAATGACTTCATTTCAGATAATGTACATCATTTTATCTCGGAGGAATTAATAATTCTGGTTAAGTAGTATTCTACAATACTGTGACTGCTGTGGGCATAAGGTAATTGTCATTATCCATCATCATTTCTACTTCTTCAGTGTTAGTAGAATCAGTCTGCCTTTCAGGGATGTGTGGAAGAAGACGATCGTACACCTCTGGGAATGTTAGTCGGTCACGTGGTTCCGTTTTCCAACAGCCAGCCATGATGTTATAAATAAATGGCGGGCAGTTTTCTGGAGGCGATAACAAAATCCCCTGTAGAATTAATTTCACGACCTGAAGAAAATAAATAATGTTAACATTTTTGCAGATATAATACAGAATAAATGAAAATTTATGTAGTATTAGCATACAAGAGCAAAGTTTATCAATATATCCAATTGCCTATGAATTCCTGCATAAAAGCTACACATAAATAAAAGAGTCATCTCCAAATAAACAAATGTGAATGGCTACCTTTGTGAAAATTTACGTTACTTTGATTAAACAAAGATTTTTAATATATGTTTTCGATAATTGAAAGAAATTCAAACAGGTTTTTATCTTTAAGAAGAAAGGCGAAAACAAATACAGCATTTGTTTTGTGGACTAACCCTAGAAGAAACAGATTTCAACAGATAGGTTTAGCGGTGCATAATATTCATGAAAATGGTCTAATTTTTTGCTTATCCATATAAAGGAATAATTTCAATAATGTATAAGGTATTGTATGTTCCGAGTACTTAAAAAAAGATCTGTGTTATAAGAATGCGTGTAATTTTAAAGACGGGTTCACGCTAGCGCAGAAAGTCGAAAAGGGGGGTAAAGAGGGTATAAACCGCGTTTTGGAAATATCAGTTCATACTTAAGCAATCGCTTCTACTTAAAAATTGGTGACTTGATAGAAGCATTGGGATAAATGCATTAATGCGTTTTTTCTCTCCTAAAATATCGGCACAGTCACTTTATTTGTTACGCTCTGTTTGCATACGACTCATCCATTTTGCAGCCATTTTTCGCCAGCCGTAAGATCGCTTTGTGGTTTCTGAAAACTCACCGAATATTTTCATGCCGATTATAAAACAACCAACATGTTAAAGGCTATGTTAAATGTAAGTATTAATGTAACCTTGTAAATAAAGTACTGTAATCCATTTCTTATTTTTAATTTTTTGTAAATGATCGAGCTTTTTTATTGTTACTCTTCACTTGCTTCTCTATATTGTTAGCATGCTATAACCCCAAAAATAGCCGAGTAGTTAATGCACGTGATTACTGCTAGCTCGAGCGAGATTGAATCCAGGTTGTCTGTATGGTTAGCTTTCTTGGTTTCGCCATGGTAACATGAATACGAGCCTGTTTTCTTAGAAAGTCCTTCCTGAAGTCATTCATTCTCTTGCGCAGATAGTCCCCGTGTGGTTTCCGTATTCAAATACCTACCCTAACCTAGTCTGCCACGATTTATTTTAATTTTTGTATTGAAAATTTGTACATTAATTTGTATTTAATATAAAATAGCTTAGCCTTCCTAATACTTTCTTTTCCTAAATTTTTCAACGTGGGTAATGCATTAAAGTAATTTTACACTCTTTTATTTTTGCAGACCTTTATTTATCAGATTTACTGACTGAGTGTAGTTGAAAGCTATCAGTAACAAATGCAGATTGAAAATAATATTCTTAAAGAATTATTATATCATGTTAATGTCAAAAGAATGGTTCAAACTCGGAAATTCACTAAGAAATAGCTTTCAATATCTACAATAAATTTTACATAATTTTTGCTTTAGAATGGTATTATGGTTGTAAGGATTATATTAATTTATCTAACAGTTAAATCTTGAGATAAACTTCTTTTCCTATCATTTCTGAGTTTCAACTTACAACTTCCGGCCAGAACGTAGTTTTAGAATAACGTTTGAATGCCAATTGTGGAAGAGCGGTATTTAACCGCGAAGTTCTACTCTCTTAGTTAGACAGAATCAGAGATTCTAGCTGGCACGCGTCCGCCTTATTAGGCTACTCTCTCTTAAGCTATTATTACGTTCGGCTGTACTTTAGGCCCTTGATAGCTTCGCAGTCAATTAGTGTTAAGAGGTCAATTCTGTTAGACTTTTCATAGTTTCGGCTATATCTTTTTAGTTAAAGATTAGTTTAGTTTAGTTCTTAGTCTCTTAAGTTCAAGTCCGAGTGTCGGCTTTTTTGTACAACTCCAAGTCAGAGTTCTGTTACATCATATTGGAATAATAAAGGGTTATTACACCCTTCTTACTTGTTGTTTCCTGCCCCACGAACTCAAGCGATTGTTCGCTTATCAGTTCTAAAGATTCTTCACATTCAACTGTAACTTTCAAGTACACAGAACAGAGTCTTACATGGTACACAAAACTACGGATTTTCACACACACACACACACACACACAAAAGAAAAAAAAAAAAAAAACGCTGCTTGGTTAAAATAAGTTGCTTTAAAGCATAAATATACAACTATTTTCTCTTGATACAATATAACAGTACATAATCAAGCTAGCTATAATTATATACGACATTGAATGATAAAGTTCTAGGATTGATACTGTTATTCTGTTAATATTAACCGCAAAAATTATATTGTACGTATCAGACTGTAGCGATATATACAAGAAGACTCAGAAAAGAGAAGATTTGTCTAATTTCGAATATCAGTAATCAAAATTACCCTGGTTCTCATTGTCATTGATTCTCGCATGGAACACAGAAGAATCTCGTGTTAGAAAAATCAACAGCGAAAACAAAACAAAAATCAAAATCATTTGTTGAGAAAATACCCTATCCTGGCCATGTGTTTGAATCGTATGACCAATTTCCAAAAGAGAAGTCTGAGGATGAACCAGGGAGATGATTGCTGTCAATTAGCCTTCTGAGGGAAATGAAGAAAATTTGTGAATAGGTGCAATCGAAGTACCTGATTACTCCAGTTCAAGAACGAGGTTGGATATACTGCATCTTAACTGTGAAATAACGGATGACAGCCAACTGGTAATCTCATCATTTGTTTTTTAGCTGTCATATAGTCAAAGTGGGATTCCCAAACTTAGTCATCGACCATATTCTACGGATGTGGCTATTATTGATTAAATTTTTTTACCCAATCTGGGACTAAAAAGACGAAAAGAAAAGAAAAATTGGGGCTGATGAAAAGATGCTTCATGTGTTTTAAAGAACTCTAAAGCAGATTATGAAAGCATGTAACAATTTGCTTCATTAATTTGGTTGTTATTATTTCAATGACTCAAATATGTGAAACGCGCGTGGAAATATTAATTTAAATTTATTTAATGTAGCACGTAACTTTTGGATAGTTAAAAGTAATATTTCTTATTCGCATTTCACTTTAATAAAACGAGAGTAAAATTAGGAAATTAGTGTATATTTTTTGATAGGAGTGAGAAAAGCAAGCAGATTTAAAAGGAAACAAAACACAATTTTAGGCACAATTTTTTAGTTGATTCTAAAAAGTGCTCTGTGCTTTTCTACGCACGAATTCATTCTACAATAAAGTGTATCTTTCTTCTTTCAAGGAGCAAAAATGTTTGTACTTTTCCTACTTACATTTTCTAAACTCAAACTCAGATTCGGGGCTATTTATTAAAGAAAAGATTTATAAAACGGGTCGAATAGTCGTTTATATTGTTATGAAATGTACAGGCGCGGTGAGATGGCTTCCCTGCAAAGCAGTTTTAGGGTTGCCATAAAATGGCAAATGAGGGCAGAAATGCCACATTTGGCGAGAAAACGCCCATTTGGCGACAAAATTGGCGATATACCATGGACGGTTGGAGAACTTTCTGGAACGAATTCTTACCGGTTTAGCCCAAAATGTTCCCGAACACAAGCCGAAAGCTATATAAACCCTGCTAGTCCGGAGTCAGGGAGTGTGCGTCTCTCATCGAGTGAGTGTGTCTCGTCTAGCGAGTCAATCCCTGTGGAGGCGATCGCGTTGACAACCGCCCAGCGAGTGCCGAGTGGGTCGTCGAGTTCACCGAAAAAGTCTCGTAGAGTATCGCGGTTAGTGCATCGTCGAGAGAGCGTGTTGAGCTCCGGAAACGACGGAACCGAGAGTCGGGAGCTGTGCTCGTGTGTCGTCGAGTGTATCGCGAGTTGTAGCGTGGAGAATCTCGAGAGTACGTGGAGTTCCGAGAACGACCAAGCAGAGTCGGGTGCTTTGCAGGAAGCTGTCTCCACCGTGATAGCCTGATAACCTGAAGGCTGTGTCGCTGATTGTTCCAGCGTGTTTATGGTAGATCTTCGACGACTGTAAAACGTGTTTTGGAGCTGTCCTGACAATACTGGCTAATAAAGTGTGTTTCGATACTTCATCAAGTGTCGTCGTTATTCACTCCAAATCTGCGAACCCCGTACGAACGTGAAGGAAGAAAATAACGTAAACTGGTGTCAGTAGAATAAATAAAAAAAAAAAAAAAAACGCAACAATATAATTATTTTGCGCAACGCTTTCAGTATTTAATTGAAGATGTTTCAGAAAATTTAGCCATATGAAACTAGAAAAAAAATTATCGCTAGAAGAAGTTAGTAATGGAAAATTTAAAAGGAGGAGTATCTAAGGTATTTTTCCGCCTTCTTAGCATGCCTTCGTAGTGTAGTGGTCTGCACGCTGGGCGCGTATTCCAGAGGTCCGTGGTTCGATTGCCGCCGAAGGCCTTACTCATTTTTCACCACTCCTGCTCCCAAATAATTACCCAATGTCTCTACAAGGTTAGGTATTAAAAGGCGTTATATGTTCTACGCAGTGAGATGCGGAAAATTCTGTATCAGTAACGTTGTATATCATCTGTTGTTTCATAGACGAGTGATCACGTGGTTATTCGTTTGTTATTTAGTTTTCATGCATTTTTGCATTGCTATATATTTATTTTATGAAATTTATTTATTTGTATCTTTTATGAGAATTTTATGTTTGCTTATTGTGTATTTCCGTCAATTTTTCATTTGTGACCACTTATTGTGTTTGTATATGTTTAGTGCAATTTTACATAGCTTTCAATTCTGAACAATTTGACGTAGGATATATGGACAGCTCAAGTTATAGAGTTCCTTACTTTTATTCTGCTAAATTTAATGCCGAAGAACTTAGTGAACTATCGCTTAATTATTAAGCGAATTATCGCTTAGTTCAAAAAACAGAAGTAGTAAACTTAAGAAGGGTAAATTACCCTTTATTTCACTCAAAATATATTGAACAGTCGGCCCCTTTCTTCGGGCTTACAATAAATCCTCCATTTGTGCTTAAACTCAAAA